GACTCCATGGCTACGTCCTTTGTCTCTGTGGGTCTATGGGTCTCTATGAGTCTATGGGTCTCTATGAGTCTATGGGTCTCTGTGGGTCTATGGGTCTCTGAGTCTATGGGTCTCTAAGAGTCTATGGGTCTCTGAGTCTATGGGTCTCTATGAGTCTATGGGTCTCTATGAGTCTATGGGTCTCTATGAGTCTATGGGTCTCTATGAGTCTATGGGTCTCTGTGGGTCTATGGGTCACTGAGTCTATGGGTCTCTGAGTCTATGGGTCACTAAGAGTCTATGGGTCTCTGAGTCTATGGGTCTCTAAGAGTCTATGGGTCTCTATGAGTCTCTATTGGTCTCTATGAGTCTCTATGGGTCTCTATTAGTCTATGGGTTTCTATGAGTCTATGGGTCTCTATGAGTCTCTATGGGTGTCTATGAGTCTTTGGGTTTCTATGAGTGTCTATGGGTCTCTATGAGTCTCTATGGATCTCTATGGGTCTATGGGTCTCTATGAGTCTCTATGGGTCTCTATGGGTCTCTATGGGTCTATGGGTTTCTATGAGTGTCTATGAGTGTCTATGGGTCTCTATGGGTCGATGGGCCTCTATGGGTCTCTATGAGTCTCTATGGGTCTCTATGGGTTTATGGGTCTCTATGGGTCTCTATGGGTTTCTATGGGTCTCTATGAGTCTCTATGGATCTCTATGGGTCTATGGGTCTCTATGAGTCTCTATGGGTCTCTATGGGTCTCTATGGGTCTATGGGTTTCTATGAGTGTCTATGAGTGTCTATGGGTCTCTATGGGTCGATGGGCCTCTATGGGTCTCTATGAGTCTCTATGGGTCTCTATGGGTTTATGGGTCTCTATGGGTCTCTATGGGTTTCTATGGGTCTCTATGAGTCTCTATGGGTCTCTATGGGTCTATGGGTTTCTATGAGTGTCTATGGGTCTCTATGGGTCTCTATGAGTCTCTATGGGTCTCTATGGGTCTCTATGAGTCTCTATGGGTCTCTGAGTCTATTGGTCTCTAAGAGTCTATGGGTCTCTATGAGTCTCTATTGGTCTCTATGAGTCTCTATGGGTCTCTATTAGTCTATGGGTTTCTATGAGTCTATGGGTCTCTATGAGTCTCTATGGGTGTCTATGAGTCTGTGGGTTTCTATGAGTGTCTATGGGTCTCTATGAGTCTCTATGGGTCTCTATGGGTCTATGGGTCTCTATGAGTCTCTATGGGTCTTTATGGGTCTCTATGGGTCTATGGGTTTCTATGAGTGTCTATGAGTGTCTATGGGTCTCTATGGGTCGATGGGCCTCTATGGGTCTCTATGAGTCTCTATGGGTCTCTATGGGTTTATGGGTCTCTATGGGTCTCTATGGGTTTCTATGGTTCTCTATGAGTCTCTATGGGTCTCTATGGGTCTATGGGTTTCTATGAGTGTCTATGGGTCTCTATGGGTCTCTATGGGTCTCTATGAGTCTCTATGGGTCTCTATGAGTCTCTATGGGTCTCTGAGTCTCTATGGGTCTCTATGGGTCTATGGGTTTCTATGAGTGTCTATGGGTCTCTATGGGTCTCTATGGGTCTATGGGTCTCTATGGGTCTCTATGGGTCTCTATAAGTCTCTATGGGTCTCTATGAGTCTCTATGGGTCTATGGGTCTCTATTAGTCTCTATGAGTCTCTATGGGTCTCTATGGGTCTATGGGTCTCTATGAGTCTATGGGTCTCTATGAGTCTGTGGGTCTCTGTGGGTCTATGGGTCTCTGAGTCTATGGGTCTCTGAGTCTATGGGTCTCTAAGAGTCTATGGGTCTCTGAGTCTATTGGTCTCTAAGAGTCTATGGGTCTCTGTGAGTCTCTATTGGTCTCTATGAGTCTCTATTGGTCTCTATGAGTCTCTATGGGTCTCTATTAGTCTATGGGTTTCTATGAGTCTATGGGTCTCTATGAGTCTCTATGGGTGTCTATGAGTCTTTGGGTTTCTATGAGTGTCTATGGGTCTCTATGAGTCTCTATGGGTCTCTATGGGTCTATGGGTCTCTATGAGTCTCTATGGGTCTCTATGGGTCTCTATGGGTCTGTGGGTTTCTATGAGTGTCTATGAGTGTCTATGGGTCTCTATGGGTCGATGGGCCTCTATGGGTCTCTATGAGTCTCTATGGGTCTCTATGGGTTTATGGGTCTCTATGGGTCTCTATGGGTTTCTATGGGTCTCTATGGGTCTCTATGAGTCTCTATGGGTCTCTATGGGTCTATGGGTTTCTATGAGTGTATATGGGTCTCTATGGGTCTCTATGGGTCTCTATGAGTCTCTATGGGTCTCTATGGGTCTCTATGAGTCTCTATGGGTCTCTGAGTCTATTGGTCTCTAAGAGTCTATGGGTCTCTATGAGTCTCTATTGGTCTCTATGAGTCTCTATGGGTCTCTATTAGTCTATGGGTTTCTATGAGTCTATGGGTCTCTATGAGTCTCTATGGGTGTCTATGAGTCTTTGGGTTTCTATGAGTGTCTATGGGTCTCTATGAGTCTCTATGGGTCTCTATGGGTCTATGGGTCTCTATGAGTCTCTATGGGTCTCTATGGGTTTCTATGAGTGTCTATGAGTATCTATGGGTCTCTATGGGTCGATGGGCCTCTATGGGTCTCTATGAGTCTCTATGGGTCTCTATGGGTTTATGGGTCTCTATGGGTCTCTATGGGTTTCTATGGGTCTCTATGAGTCTCTATGGGTCTCTATGGGTCTATGGGTTTCTATGAGTGTCTATGGGTCTCTATGAGTCTCTATGAGTCTCTATGGGTCTCTATGAGTCTCTATGGGTCTCTATGGGTCTATGGGTTTCTATGAGTGTCTATGGGTCTCTATGGGTCTATGGGTCTCTATGGGTCTCTATAAGTCTCTATGAGTCTCTATGGGTCTCTATGAGTCTCTATGGGTCTATGGGTCTCTATTAGTCTCTATGAGTCTCTATGGGTCTCTATGGGTCTATGGGTCTCTATGAGTCTCTATGGGTCTCTATGAGTCTATATGAGTCTCTATGGGTCTCTATGGGTCTATGGGTCTCTATGAGTCTCTATGGGTCTCTATGAGTCTCTATGGGTCTCTATGGGTCTATGGGTCTCTGTGAGTCTATGGGTCTCTATGGGTCTGAGTCTCTATGAGTCTCTATGGGTCTCTATGAGTGTCTATGGGTCTGAGTCTCTATGAGTCTCTATGGGTCTCTATGAGTCTCTATGGGTCTCTATGAGTGTCTATGGGTCTCTATGAGTCTATAGAAACACGGGTATTAGTATTGCTATAAATGTCCACTTGCTTGAGCTGTCAATTGTTGACGGACGGGGTGTAGCTTCTGAAAGAAGACCTTCTACCTGGCAGCTCAGTGGGGTCCTAACTGGGAACAATGTTTTTTCTCCATAGCTGTAGTTTGGTGGATTTTCCACCAATATCGATTGACAATGCAACGTAGTTTATTGGGTGTAGCGGTGAACAATAGCCACATCAGACGTGAGGACAACATCAAATCGGCATAATCAATGGGTTCACTGTCTGTACTGTCTGTACTGCTGTAGCTGTACTGTATGTACTGTCTGTACTGCTGTAGCTGTACTGTCTGTAGTGATGTAGCTGTACTGTCTGTACTGTCTGTACTGTCTATACTGCTGTAGCTGTACTGTCTGTACTGCTGTAGCTGTACTGTCTGTAGTGATGTAGTTGTACGGTCTGTACTGTCTGTACTGCTGTAGCTGTGCTGTATGTACTGTCTGTAGTGATGTAGCTGTACTGTCTGTACTGTCTGTACTGCTGTAGTTGTACTGCGGTAGCTGTACTGTCTGTACTGCTGTAGCTGTACTGTCTGTACTGTCTATACTGCTGTAGCTGTACTGTCTGTACTGTCTGTACTGCTGTAGCTATACTGTCTGTAGCTGTACTGCTGTAGCTGTACTGTCTGTACTGCCTGTAGCTGTACTGCTGTAGCTGTACTGTCTGTACTGTCTGTAGCTGTACTGCTGTAGCTGTACTGTCTGTACTGTCTGTAGCTGTACTGCTGTAGCTGTACTGTCTGTACTGTCTGTACTGCTGTACTGCTGTAGCTGTACTGTCTGTACTGCTGTAGCTGTACTGCTGTAGTTGTACTGTCTGTACTGTCTGTACTGCTGTAGCTGTACTGCTGTAGCTGTACTGTCTGTACTGCTGTAGCTGTACTGTCTGTACTGCTGTAGCTGTACTGCTGTAGCTGTACTGTCTGTACTGCTGTAGTTGTACTGCTGTAGCTGTACTGTCTGTACTGCTGTAGCTGTACTGTCTGTACTGCTGTACTGTCTGTACTGTCTGTACTGCTGTAGCTGTACTGTCTGTACTGTCTGTAGTGATGTAGTTGTACTGTCTGTACTGTCTGTACTGCTGTAGCTGTACTGTCTGTACTGCTGTAGCTGTACTGTCTGTACTGCTGTAGCTGTATTGTCTGTACTGTCTGTACTGCTGTAGCTGTACTGTCTGTACTGTCTGTAGTGATGTAGCTGTACTGTCTGTACTGCTGTAGCTGTACTGTCTGTACTGCTGTAGCTGTACTGTCTGTACTGCTGTAGCTGTACTGCTGTAGCTGTACTGCTGTAGCTGTACTGCTGTAGCTGTACTGCTGTAGCTGTACTGCTGTAGCTGTACTGTCTGTACTGTCTGTAGCTGTACTGCTGTTCCACTGCACTGCGCCACTAATTGCGAGCCCCGGCCCCAGGGCGGTTGAACGCCGCCCGGCCCCGGCCGCCTCCAGGCGCTCCAAACCCGGCAGAGGCAACTAGCCTAGTCCGGTCCCAAGGCCCGGTTCCTCAAATTTAGTTTTGTTTTTGTGTGAACGCATCGCGATGTTTGTTGTCGTATAAACGTTATTCTTTCTGCTCGCTACACGAGGCCCCGCTACTGACGAGACGGTGACGTGCTGGGGTGGGTGGGGAGGGCGCGCAACACGGTGAGCAGAAGGTGAGCGGCGTTGGCGGTGGTGAGCGATGGGTAGCCACTCACCCCGTTTACGCTCCGCCATGGCGCTTGTGTCTCTCACGTCCTTGCAACCCCCCCCACGCCACACGGACAGAATGGACGAGTCCAAGTCTCACCGCAGGACCCCCCATTCCACACGGCCACAATGGACGAGTCCAAATCGCACTACAGGACCCCCCCCACGCCACACGGCCAGAATGGACGAGTCTAAGTCTCACCACAGGACCCCCCCATTTCGCACGGCCACAATGGACGAGTCCAAATCGCACCACAGGACCCCCCCCCCCCCCCATGCCACACGGCCAGAATGGACGAGTCCAAATCTCACCACAGGACCGCCCCCTCCCCCTACGTCACCCGGTCACAATGGACGAGTCTAAATCTCACCACAGGATCCCCCCATTCCACACGGCCACAATGGACGAGTCCAAATCGCACTACAGGACCCCCCCTCCACGCCACACGGCCAGAATGGACGAGTCCAAATCTCACCACAGGATCCCCCCATTCCACACGGCCACAATGGACGAGTCCAAATCTCACCACAGTACCCCCCCCCCCCCCCCCCGACACCACACGGCCAGAATTGACGAGTCCAAATCTCACCACAGGACACTCCCACCCCCAAGCATCACGGTCACAATGGACGAGTCCAAATCGCACCACAGGACCCCCCACGCCACACGGTCACAATGAACGAGTCAAAGTCTCACCACAGGACACCCCCCCCCACGCCACACGGCCAGAATGGACGAGTCTAAATTTCACAACAAGATCCCCCCCCCCCACGCCACACGCCAGAATGGACGAATCCAAATTTCACAAGACCCCCCCCCCCACGCCACACGCCAGAATGGACGAGTCTAGATCTAACCACAGAACACCCCCTCCTACCCCCCAAGCATCACGGCACAATGGACGAGTCCAAGTCTCACCACAGGAAACCCCCTCCTCCCCCACAAGCGTCACGGGCACAATGGACGAGTCCAGATCTCACCGTGGTTGACCTCACTTCCACGGCCACAATGAACGGGTCCAAATCTAACATCGATTAACCCCCATCTCACTGCGAGAATGGAGGAATCCAAATCTCACTACAGACATCCCCCAAGCGTCACGGCCACAATGGACGAGTCCAGAGTTCACGGTGGTCGACCTCACCCCCACGGCCAGAATGGAACGAGTCCGAATCTCACCACAGGACACCCCCCCCCCCCACCCCCCAGTGTCACGGCCACAATGGACGAGTCCGAATCTCACCACAGGACACCCCCCCCCCCCAGCGTCACGGCCACAATGGACGAGTCCAGATCTCACCACAGGACACCCCCCCCCCCCCCCAGCGTCACGGCCACAATGGACGAGTCCGAATCTCACCACAGGACACCCCCCCCCCCTCCCAGCGTCACGGCCACAATGGACGAGTCCGAATCTCACCGGAGACGACCTTACCCGTACGGCCAGAATGGACGAGCCCACATCGCAGGACGATTATCCCTCATCTCACTGCGAGAATGGACGAGTCCAACTTTCACTATGGACACCCCCCCAAGCGTCACTGCCACAATGGACGAGTCCAGAGCTCACCGTGGTCGATCTCACACCCCTCCGGCCACAATGGACGAGTCCAAATCTCAACAGGACGATCCTGCCGTGTGACTGCGACAATACACGCGCCCAAATCTCAGAATCAGAATCTGTATTTTATACTGGAACTAGCTTTACTACCCGGCTTCGCCCGGAACTCTATTTTTATACTTTTTGGCATTGTATACAGTCTGGAAGCTACCCACATGCCAAATTTCAAGTTTGTTGCATGTTGGAAAGTACGCTAAACATTTCGAACTGACACACACATTCACAAATTTCCCTTTTATATTTATGGATAATCCAATGAGCTATGAAGCTCTTTTTCACGGGAGATGTCCAAATGTTCAGTGCGGGTAAACCTCCACGCCACGGCCAGAATAGACGAGCCCAGATTTTTTAAATCGCGGTTATCGTCCACCCCCCCCACCCCCATGGCCGGAATGGACGAGTCCAGATTTTTTAATCGCGGTTATCTTCCACCCCCCACCCCCATGGCCGTATTGGACGAGTCCAGATTTTGAAATCGCGGTTATCGTCCACCCCCCATCCCACATGGCCGGAATGGACGAGTCCAGATTTTTTAATCGCGGTTATCGTCCACCCCCGCCCCCACCCCCATGGCCGGAATGGACGAGTCCAGATTTTTTTTAAATCGCGGCTATCTTCCCCCCCCCACCCCCATGGCCGAAATGGACGAGTCCTGATTTTTTAATCGCGGCTATCGTCCACCCCCACCCCCATGGCCGGAATGGACGAGTCCAGATCTCACTGCGGTCCACCCCGACTCTATAAGACGCAACTATTTATGAGATTTTTACTTATTGGACTTTTTTTTTTACTCCATAAAGTCATGCTTATAAGACGCACTTTCCCAGTATGTTACCGGAATAATAAGACGAACTTTTGTTAATCGCTTCACTTTTTAATGCGTTTTTTGTTGTTGTGGTGAGCCATTGCGATTCTCGCTCAAACAAGACTGCATCCTGATATTTTAGGAGACCTGGTTAAACCAAAAGACGCGCAAAAATAATCTTGAAAGCTAAACTTACGTTCATGCATTTCGTGAATAACTGCATTGTTGGTACGTGCAAAGACAACGGCTGCTGTCTGTTCACAACGACTTCTGTCTGCGCGCGACTTCTGTCTGCGCGCGACGACTTCTGTCTGCGCGCGACGACTTCTGTCTGCGCGCGACGACTTCTGGCTGCGCGCGACGACTTCTGTCTGCGCGCGACGACTTCTGTCTGCGCGCGACGACTTCTGTCTGCGCCTCAATGTATACACCCTCCCTTCAAGGGCGGTGACGTCAACCAAGGGTGACGTAGGTCAACAATGTCACGTGCACACATCTGGTGGTTTTCTATTGGCTGGGAGGGAAAAGGGGCGGGGCTGTGAGAGAGGGAGAGTGGGGGGGTAGGAGAAGGGGAGTGGGCTGGAAGGGGGGAGAGGGGGGGAGGTGCTGGGAGGGAGAGGGGGGGGCTAGGAGAGTGGGGGGAGGTGCTGGCAGTGAAAGGGGTGGGGTGAGGGGGGAGGTGCTGGGAGGAAGGAGGGGCTAGTAAACATGAGGGGGCGGGGCTTAGTAAGAGGGGAGGGGCTGGGTGGGGTCAATGGGGGAGGGACGTCGGGGTCATGGTACCGGAACCGCGGGGAGAGGAAAAGTGGTCACCTTAAAAATGTTTAAACATTTTTTTTTAAATCACAAAAAAAACAAAATCACGATAACGACGACGATGATAACAAGCGATAGCAAACCATTACGTTGGTTTCTGTCGTTGTTATTTATTAAATAACGCGACATTTACCTCACGTGTGAACTTGAGCACCACTTTAGCTTATTAACACCGCGACCTTGGTTGGTTTTTGGCGCCAATTTTTGTTAATTTACTTAGATCTCCGCAGTTTGTGAGGGGGAACATTTCTTAACAATTCTTGGCCAAAACGAAAAACAACGTTTAAAAAAATCGCGCCTATGAAGCTGGGTTTGTAATCGCTAGCAGAAACGTCGGACTACAATTGTAAATGTTGTGGTGGTGGGAGTTGGGGGGTTATTCATAATCTATACTGCAGCAGGAATCCGATGAGCTATAAAGCTCTTTACCACTATTATACAGTTCGGGGCACGGTGGTCAGAACGTTACAACAAACAATACAATCGGATTGTTGGTTCTATTCGTTAAAGTCACCACGTAGAAGGGAAACAATAAAATCATTTAAAAAATTATAAAACAATAAAATTCTCACGACGTTTCGATTGCAACACGAGCAATCATCATCAGGTGTGGAAACCACAGCGAGAAAATTTGAAGAAAGTGGGGGGAAAAAAGAGAAATGAATTCCCTAGCAGTAACGAAAGCTTTAAATGGAAAAATAAAATCGGAGTGAAAACTATGGGAAAGGCAAAACAAACATCTACAAATATAAAACAATATTTATTTTAATCTTACCACGTGAGGCCCACGTGGTAAGATTTGGTACTGGCAAAGGAGGTCTAATGATCTTCTTTGGTTCTTTCGGTAAAGTCACCACGTAGAATGAGAATAAAATAATAAATTGATAAAATAAAATAACACAATAATATTCTCACGACGTTTCGGCCACAACACAAGCGGCCTTCATCAGGTGAAGGGACGAGACTGTCTGGAGGACAGCGCTGGAGTGAAAAAGCCACGCTCAGATCGCGACCTTTAAGCTGTGTGAGAGGAAACAAAGCGCCTTGACAAAGGAATTGGCATAGAATTTAGCATTGAAATGGCTGAGTGATTAGCTTGTGACTGGTCACAGAAATGGCTATGTTAAAAGTTAAAGCATACACATCCGCAAAGGCACCCCTTGACAAAGGAATTAGCATAGAATTTAGCATTGAAATAGCTAAGTTAAAGTATACACATCCGCAGAGGCACCCCTTGACAAAGGAATTAGCATAGAATTTAGCATTGAAATAGCTGAGTGATTAGCTTGTAACTGGTCACAGAAATAGCTATGTTAAAGTCAGAGCATATACATTCACCGAGGCACCTAGTACAAATCAAACAGGAGAATTTAGCATTGAAATAACTAGAATTTAGCATTGAAATAACTGAGTGATTAGCTAGTGACTGGTCACAGAAATGGCTATGTTGAAGTCAAGGCCTACACATCTGAGCTATTCACAGTAACTGGGTATACAATACAATATATAATGAATACTATATAGTGAACCAATAATAAATACCGAAAGAACCAAAGAAGATGAATCCTTGTAGTCACAAAAGCTTGAAATCAGGTCTAATGATGTGGATGCTCACCCCGAGCCCTCATTACTTTGATAGTGGCTTTGTCTCTGAGCTGTGTGATGCCTTCTGGCGTCATCTGGACGAGCACCAATTGGGTCGAGGCTCAACAGAAAGCCGTCCCTTGGTGTGGACCAATCAGTTTCAAGGACAACGCCACATATATTATCGTAGTTTTTCCTTTGTTTGCATTTTGACCGCAGGTATTGTGGTAAATGCAGTAGCATGAATCCTCATAAAACAAAAGGTTTCAGTTTTGTTGCCAGAAAAAAAGGGGAA